GGGTTGGTACGCGAGGTCAGACCCCGTTCCCCCCTTAGGGTACTATAGCCGCTCCACCTGGGTCGTTCGACACCAAGTATTTGGGCTCCTCCGCCGGGGTTGGTACGCGAGGTCGGACCTCGTGCCCCCTTAGGTACTATAGCCATTCCACCTGGGTTATTCGACACCAAGTATTTGGGCTCCTCCGTCAGGGTTGGTACGCAAGGTCGGACCTCGTGCCCCCTTAGGGTACTATAGCCGCTCCACCTGGGCGATTCGACACCAAGTATTTGGGCTCCTCCACCGGGGTTGGTACGCGAGGTCGGACCTCGTGCCTCCCTAGGATATGGTTGGAGAGGTCGGATAAGTACCCCTTTAGGGGACAGACCACCTCTTACAAAAATTGTTGGAGGGGATGAACCACCTCTTACAACACCGTTGGTGGGGACGGTCCACCACTTACAACATCGTTGGAGGGGACGGTCCACCTCTTACAACATCGTTGGAGGGGACGGTCCACCTCTTACAACATCGTTGGAGGGGACGGTCCACCTCTTAAAACATCATTAGAGTGGACGTACCACCTCTTAAAACATTGTTGGAAGAGACGTTCCACCTCTTGAAACATCATTAGAGAGGACGAAGCACCTCTTGCAATATCTTTGGAGGGGACACTCCACCTCTTAAAACATCGTTGGAGGAGACGTTCCACCTCTTGAAACATCATTGGAGAGGACGGACCACCTCTTGCAATATATTTGGAGGGGACGCTCCACCTCTTAAAACATCATTGGAGAGGACGGACCAACTCTTGCAATATATTTGGAGGGGACGCTCCACCTCTTAAAACATCGTTGGAGATGACGGACCACCTCTTGAAACATCATTGGAGAGAACGAATCACCTCTTGCAACATCTTTGGAGGGGACGAACCACCTCTTGCCACATATTTGGAGGGGACGCTCCACCTCTTAAAACATCGTTGGAGGAGACGTTCCACCTCTTGAAACATCATTGGAGGGGACGGACCACCTCTTGCAATATCTTTGGAGGGGACGCTCCACCTCTTAAAACATCGTTGGAGGAGACGTTCCACCTCTTGAAACATCATTAGAGGAGACGGACCCCCCGGTGGGCCGAGCAGGTCCCTTTGTGGATCTCCTCTATGACTGACCTCGCCTCGTTGGGGTACAAGCAATGTAGCAGGGCGTCATTTGAGGACCTCTTGTAGAGTATATCACGGAAGACCATGTAGGTTCTCCTCACCGGCTTGGCTTCGACTTTGTCAAGGGTCAAGCAACCCATAACAGGTTCTTCCGTTAGGTAGTGAGCGGGGGCGTCCCCCCTGTACTATCGTTAGGGAAATGCCAAGGTCGGGGCCGGCGCGCACGACCGCGACCATGGATTAATAAGAACATATGTCAATATTTGAGCTCCTAGGGTTCGGGGAAGCCGTGTGCTTGACCTATCATGCCCCCTTGGGAGGGTGGGGTAAATGTAGGCATCCCTCGAGACACGTCGGGGCCGAGCAGGAGGGCTCGGACACCTCCTTGGAGCACCTCAACGGGGCGGGTTGACAAGGTGGTAGCTTGTTGGAGCGCGACCATCCCCTCCGGGAGCTCGTTCATTCGCTTACGGAGCTGCTCGACCTCGTCACGATGGATGCTTGGAGCTCGACCATTCGTTTCTCCCGACCTCTCATCTCCGGAGGCCTACTCGCGTTGCGGTGGAGCTCGGGGCCCGCGGCTCAGCGACCTACGTGAAAACAATTCCTGACGTGGCGGTGCTCGAAAGCCACGGCTCGGCGACCTTCGGAGACATGATTCCTCCGCTTGTGGTGCGTTGGGGGTTGGCCTTGGGCCCAACCTATCTCAAGCCGACACGCACTTGCCTAGCCTCTCCAAGGCGGGCCTAGCATGGGTCGACCTCCCTCTATCGCCCTCTCGATGGCGATCTTGGCAGATGTCACCCCCTCCCCGCGTGTCCGATGACCGGGGCGAGTTGACCTCCTTTTCGATTTGAGTGTTGAGTGCCCGGGGTGGCCGGGTGTTTGGACCAGTGCGCCCCCTTGAGGGAGGTGGAGGCGGGGTCGGCGTCCTTAGTGTGGCCTCTGGACCGTGGCGCCCACCTCCTTGGGGACCCTCTGCGAGGTGAGCCAAAATCGCAGAGGATTGTTAAAGGGCAACCGCCCCCTCTTGTAGCGGGGCGCGATTCGAAGGAGGGGCGGACCGTCCTGCGTACCTCCTTGGGGACCCTCTGCGAGTTGAGCTAAAGTCGCAGAGGATTGTTAAAGGGCAACAGCCCCCTCCTATAGCGGGGCGCGATTCGGAGGAGGGGCGGACAGTCTTGCGTACCCCCTTGGGGACCCTCTGCGAGGTGAGCCAAAGTCGCAGAGGATTGTTAAAGGGAAACAGCCCCCTCCTGTAGCGGGGCGAGATTCGGAGGAGGGGCGGCGGAAGACGGCACACTACCGCTGCGATGGTTGGTGAGGTGATCTCTCAAATCCCCTCCCGACCTGCTGGAGACGGTCGGTTGGAGGCTAAGGGCCCCGTTGGGCCGTTCCCGGTTGCGGCGAGCTGGGTGCCATGGGAACCGTTGGTGTGGCGAGAGTTGGATCTCGACCTTGCCATGGTAGCTGATCGCGGTGGATCAAAGGATAAAGAACACGCTTGAGCTGGTGCAGCAGCTCTCAACAAGAGCACCAATTATGGATTTAATTAACCCGGGGTGACCCGAATTATTAAACCCGGATAAGAACGTAATATAGGAATAAATAAATAGACAAAACGGTGTCATAAAGGTCGCGGAGACCGTAAATTGTATTAGGTGCCGTAAATAGGCTATTACAAAGATTCTTAAGACAAAGTATGCCAAATAGATAAAATGTGTCTTAATGAGACAAGGTGGGGGGTTTTTATACAACCCCCACCCCTAACCGCCACTCTCTAAGGCGGGGGGTGGTTAGATCCGCGTTGACCGCGTCTCGGGTTGACTGATTCCCAGGTCGGTCCTTTTTATGGCCGACCCCATTTATGGCCGACCCCATTTATGGTCGACCCCTTTGGGGCGGCACCTGCTCCAAGCCGAGGCCCTATGGGTCAGGGCCTCGAGTCTTGCTCCACCTCCACGGATCGGTTTGCTCTAGTCGTAATGTATCCATCACCAATTATTGTTAAATTCAAATATTTTGGTTTTTCACACTTTAATTAACACCTTCGTTAAAATACAGAATAAAAAAGCCAAAAATTAGAAGATCAAAGAAAACTAATTAAAATCAGTACTTCTAATTAACAATTTATATTCAAAATATAACAAAGTAGCTAGAACTGTCAAATAAAAGAAAATATTTTAGGAATCACTTAAGTTCTTAATTTCATATGCAACGGGGATTAGAAGAAAAAATAAAATACATTGGCTTAGTTAAGTTGTTATACCATGGAAAGTCAACCCTGGTCCTAAACGACAAATAAATTGTGTATTTTTAGTATTGAAATTGTGAACTTCTAGAATATAAATTGTATTTTTAATTCAAAACACACAAAATTTGTGAATACAATACAGGATCATCAAATCCTAATATATTAATATTGTGTGACTGTAGTATTTGAAAGGAATTTGTGAATACAAAACAAGGTAATCAATTACATATATGTTAACATTGTGTGTTTGTACTATACAAATTGTGAATTTTTAAAAGGTAAATTGTGAATATTTAGTAGGTAAATTGTGAACATTTAAGCCGGCCACTTGGATCCACAAAATAATTTGCAGGCTTAGTTATAGAGAAACTTGAGTCAACAAAATCTATTGTGGAACTACAAAAGAGAATCTAGAGTCTAACTTAACGCGAATAACATTTCAAGGAATAAGGTCCAAATTGGCCATTGAACGTAACCTGAAAATGCAATTAGGCCACTAAACGAAAAAAAAAAAAAAAAAAAAAAAAAAAAAAAAAAAAAAAAAAAAAGTGCAATTATGCCATTGAACACTCCAAATGTATTGCAATTTCACCCGATAGCAGGTTACCATCCAATTCATCTGGTTGCTTGCTTACGTGGATGGTGACTTGACATTTTAACTAATTTTTAATAATAAACTTTAAAAATAAAAATTAAAAAATTTATAAATAAATAAACGCCGAGTGGCCGCCAGTCACCCCTTTCCCCTCCTCCTTCATCTCCGGCAGAGACGAAGGAAGGAGGAAGTAGGTCCCGTGATACAAAGGACCTGTCTCACGCCACCCCCCTTCCCCCCGGAGACGAAGGACTTGTCTTCGTCTCCAACCAGAGACGAATAGCTTCTCTTCGTCTCTGGTTGGAGATGAAGAGATCTCTCTTAGTCTCCAACCGGAGACGAAGGAGGAGAAGGGGTGGGGAAGGGGAAGGGGGTGGCCGCCAACACTTCTTTTTATAATTTTTTAATTTTTATTTTTAAAGTTTATTATTAAAATTATTAAAAATGACAATTCACTATCCACGTAAGTAGACAACTTGAAGAAATGGATGAAAACTTGTTATCAGGTGAAATTGCATATATTTGGAGTGTTGACTTAGTGACCCATTTTGTTCATTTAGTGACCTAATTGCATTTTCAGGTTACCTTCAGTGACCAATTTAAACCTTATTCCAACGTTTCACTTTTTGCCTGAACTTTTAAAATTTAAAATGGGAAAATGGCACCTTTTTTTCCTAAATTATATGTTTATAGAGTTTTTCTCCTTTGAGTTATTCATCTATCAACACTAGCTTCCTCAATTATTTTGAAAGTGATGATTTTTCTCTCGATATGTTAAATGGGTGTTTATAAAAATAAGGACAACATAGAATGCCTATAAGCAATAATTTGTTAGAGAATAAAAATAAATAAATAAATAGAATATCTATTTTGACCTTATTTTTATGGGTACAAATATCAATTTAACAGAAAGGGAGAAAAAAATGTCAATTTTAAAGTAATTGAATGGGCTAATGTAAATATATGAATAATTTAAGGGCAAAAACACTATAAACATAAACACTAAATAATTTTAATTTCGTGCATAATAGCTGGAGACATGAATCAGAAATGCAGTGCAATTCATCAAGAGGATGATGGTGACAATGTTTGATGAGGAAGTAACCCAAGTGATGTGAGCAAAAAAAAAAAAAAAAAACCTAAGTATACAAGTGCAATCAGCAAGCCTTAACTAGTTTGAGGTTGGTCAGCATCTGGGACATAATTCTCAGACAGCTCAAGGGAAACTGGGCAATGGTCACTCCCATAAAAACCTGCAACAACCACATAAATCCACTTTAGCTATATCAACCATCAAACATGTCACAGTCTGGCTCTTGGAGAATACATCATTTACGAGTTAATACCCAATTTAGTCCTGAACGTCTTTTCTGTTTTCCCTAATTGAGTCCTAGGATTTACTGACTTTACCTTTTAACTCAATCCCTTGACCATGCATCTTGCATGAAATCATCCTATCTTTCAGTAGCTCCGACACAATGAAATAATCTATTCTCATCCTCTTCCCGCGATACCTGAAAGAAAGAAAGAAGCTCGCTCATCACAGTCTCAAGTTATACATAAAGAAATACTATGCACGTCTAGAAAAGAAACGAGTGATAACTTACTTCCCAACTGGATTTCCGGACCATGAGAAGCCACATTCCATATCTGTATCCTTGTTTAGGAGTCTGTATGCATCCACTAGCTTTCCTCTGTGGGGTATTCGTAAAAATTTAAGCAATTCGAGTTCAACAATTCAACTCCATTCGTTTCATTCTATGCTGTAATAAGGGTGTGTTTGGTTCGCACATGGGAATCAGAATCGGAATGGGTATCAAATACTTGGTAATGGTAATGGGTTGTAGTGAAAGTATTTTGCATGTAGGGTGGAATGGGAATGATTATCAATAATTCTGTTTGATTATGTATGATCCTATAATAGGAATAAAGATTTTAAAAATACAAGAACACAAAATCAAGACAATTGATTCTAATATAAAGACATCCAAAACACTAATATGAACAAAAAAAATAAAAACAAAAATCTAAAAGCACTAATCAAAGGGGGATGAGAAGGAATAAGGAAATGAAAGGGAATAATACCCTTATTTTATTTGGGTATGGGTTTTTCAATTAAGGGGGTATTTGAAACCCATAGTAATGTTCTAAAAACCTATCAACCAAACAATACCAATCACTTTGATACCCATTACTTAGAGCTAAACCTGTCAACCACACCCTAAGATGTGATGGAACAGTGGGTGTGTTTGGTTCGCACATAGGAATCGGAATCGGAATGGGTATCAAATACTTGGTAATGGTAATGGGTTTTAGTGAAAGTATTTAACATGTTTGGTAGTAGGGTGGAATGGGAATGGTTACTAATAGTAGTGTTTGAGAATGAATAAGGGAATGAAACCCTTATTGTATTTGGGTATGGGTTTTTCAATTGATGGGGTATTCGAAACCCATAGTAGTGTTCTAAAAACCTATCAACCAAACAACAACAATCACTTTCATACTCATTACTATGAGCAAAACCCACCAACCAAACACACCCAGTGTGTCGTATGTAATGTGCATATTACCTTCCACTTTCAAAAAGCTACTTTTGTTTCGTCTAATAGTTTATTGAAAAAGCAGACCTTCCTTAATCCATATGAAACTATGTGGAATATTAGTTATGCTTTTAAGGACTCGCAATAGTTTGTTTCATAGAGAACCAGCAATTTCTTATTATCAGTGTTGTAAAAATCGGCCTAGGCGCCCCTAGGCCGAGGCGATTTCAGCCCTAGGCGGCTTTTAGTCGGCTGACCGACTAACCAACTAAGCACTCTAGGCGCCGACTCGGCCGAGTTGAACACCTAACTCGGCTGAGTTGAGCGTCTAACTCGACCAAGTCGGTGCCTATCTCGACCGAGTTGGCGCTCAACTCGGGCTAGTGGTTTTTATTTTGCTTACTCGGCTACTCCTCTTCTATATTTCTTCAGCCATGTACTCAACTAACTAACCGTCTAACATATGCAGTTGACTAGTTTGGGGGATTATAATAGTCTAACAACTCCTAACCCTGAGTGAGAAAAGTGGAGAAGATATACTCGAATTACTAGGCCAACTAGGCGGCGCCTAGGCACCGCCTAGGCGCTCTAGGCACTAGGCGCCCGACTAGTGCCTAGCGCCTTCTGCAACATTACTTATTATTAGCTACAATAGGTGACCTAAATATCCATGATGGGCAAACATTATCAACCCAGCTCTAGATATGCTTCAGATAGGGCGTGTTTTTTGGCCCAGGCATGTGAATGGTCAATTTTCTTATCCTAGGACCCCATTCCAGCTGAGCATGGTTAGGAGGACCACAGGCCAGGTGTCCACATCCGTGTTTCAACCCCTCAATTCCTATAGTAATAGTACTAAGCTGTTATCAACACACAGTGATTCAGATGGCCAAAGAAATTAAAAAGTAGAAAAAGGACGAGTCTACTCCTATATGGTGTTAGTAGTAATAGATGAACAGTAATTCTTTCGAGAAATGGATTCACTACAGCATGGCAACAACAAAAAATTACACAACCAGCATTCAGTTTCAAATTATACACAAATAAACGTTGTGTAAAATGAACAGGGGAAGCTGTTTGTAACAAGGTATTGTTTCATTACCAATCTAGTTTCACATAGCATAGACATAATTGAAGATGGGTTTTGCTGTGATTTTAGTTGAAAAATTTTGGAGCCAAAACTTTTTGTTTTTTAATAAAAGATTGTGAGTAAAGTGATTTTGGGAAATCTAAAACTAAACCCCACAAATATACATTGTACGTTAACATGACCAATAACGCAATGCTAAACCTCAGTTGAGAAAACACTAATTGGTTATATCACAACTATGCCTCAAGTCATTAAAATTGAAAGATAGAATCAAATTACATACTCTTTCATTATGGCACCAAACCGCCTCCTCTCAGCAAGCGTAAATCCAGGCTGCCCACAGTCCTGCATAAGTAGTTAAAAGTTAGTAAGTAATTAAGTATAATGTGGAATTCAACCAACTTGGTTGGCGTGAGTGGCCGTGCACTCTCATCCCTTAAAAGAGGTCTGGAGTTCATAACCATTTCTCGTATAGAAAAACCAATATGGCAAGCACTTTGCCCCTTAATTGGGCTGGCCCGGTGCGAACGGGGATTAGTCTAAGTATGGTATGGGCTTAAAGGTGCCTCCTATAGTTCGGCCCTACTCAGAACACTTCGTGGTCTAACCAAAAAAAAATGTGGAATTCAGTAATTTTTAAAATTTTATTTCACAATTTGCTTTGGTTCATCTGCGGATAAGTTGCAATCAGGTCACTTGAGGATAAGTTGGTTAACACTTTAGAAATACAATATGATGTACATCTCAAAGGACACCTCATTAATCGGCTATTACTTTTGTATCATAACTACGTGATACACAATCCATGAAGAGAGAAAGTAAGGTTCAATTCACATCTTATAAACAGATCACGCTTCAATTTGAATGTGGCACAGATGCCCCAGAATATTACAGAGAGATTGTCGGTATGATATTACCTCTTTATTTGGTGGAACATACCCGTTTTGCTTTGCAGCAGCGAAAAACTCTGGATGACTGACATCAATTTCTTCATGGCTGTAGGCAATGTAGGAAAGCAAATTGATTATCTGAATGATGGAGACCACAAAAACCGAGATTGCATAGAAGATTGTCAAATTCAAATTTGAAAAATAACGCATATCTCCTTTAAACTAAAAAATCTGATTCTTTGCTGACGAAAGAAGAGCTTAATTACCACCGAATCAATTGTATAAAATTTTTTCACAAGTCATTGTGCAAACTATTCAATGATCCATATAGAAAAGTGCAATATAGACTGGCAAAACCAAGAAAATTGCCAACTTTCGGGATAAAAAGAAGACATTGAGCAAAAAACGAAAAACTAAAGATAAAAGAATAATAGAGAAAGAAAGAGAGAATCTAAGATGGAAAGGAGAAAGGAAAACCCAACAGAACCAAATAAACAAGGAAAGCTTACATAGTTACATAAAAACAGCATGTAAAAGAAAGGTACCTTACATTAAGATCTCCACACCAAATAAGGGGTTTGTTAGAAGCCTGCAGAACGAACTCTAGCATTCTTTTATCCCACTTTCTTCTCCTTGGAAATGAAGACTCCTCTTCTTTCCAGCCATTGTTTGGCACATACGTGTTTAATAGTCGGAATGTCTCAAATTCAGCCAAAATTACTCGACCATCTGGTTCATGCTTTGAACCTATGAAAAATTGCTCAAAATTTTATTTATTTATGTTGGCTTTCGCTATCTCAAGGGGTTTAAGATGAATGAAGGCTAAAACATGCAGATTCAGAAAGATTGTAAAATGTCAGAACTTTATTCAACAAAGTTATGCATCATTTTGGAAGTATAAGAATCAAAGGTTTGATAGTAATGCACCTGTTCCATCAAGAGAGAATGAAACCTTCTTTGGTTGGAAACACTTTTTGACAAACAAAGCGGTTCCAGCATATTTTGAATCAGAAAGAGACCACCAAACATCATAATTTTTGAATGGTGGACTTGATAAGGCACGCGTCACTATCTGCAGAATTGAGTGGGAACCACTGATATAAAAACATGCACTGGGACATGATATCATAAGATGATTGAATTATAGAAATATTTTTAAATCCATTGACTAAGGCGGGTAAAGAAGGAAGAAACATATGGTACTTCATAAGAAGTGAACTAACAGTTTCCCTGCTAGATATTAAAAAGAAAAAATGCATGGATTTTGGAGGTTCTTTAAAGAGAACGCTATAATTAAACACAACAAGACAATTGCGTAAACAAAATTTACCAGTTTTTCTTCACGAGAAGCATTGGTATCATCCTTTATCTCTCTTGGATTTTTTGGTGCACCCTTGGAACCAGCCGCAGCCATCCTGACTTCCTATACCAAATGACTTTAACATGAATTCTTTCCCACTAGAAACAAACTTCTTTGCACAGCAACAAAAAATAAATAAAGAGCAAAAAAACAAAGGAAAAGGTGTCATTGCAAGATAATCAAGAGTGACAAAGAAAAACACTACCCAGTGACCTGGATAAATCTTTTAGACACTCTACAAGCCTACAGTGACAGTAAAACATCCTTGATTAAACAAAATAACATCTTTAGTGGAAACTATGCCCTAGTTCATTAAGGTGCATGCTCAAATTGTCTCATCAATAGATCTACTTCCCATCTTCCCATTTTATATGTCTGGTTCGATTAATGAGGCTGAAGTTATTTTTAATTCAATTTTTCATAATATTAACTTTAGTATTAGTATATAAAATTTATATGTTTAGAAACTACTATTACACACAAAAAATTAATTTTAAAAATTACTCAAGAAAATCAGCAAAGAAGGAGTTAGTTTGAGTAATGAATAGAAAAATGGTAGTATAGAAAACTAACATTGTACCCAATACCTGCTTTTACACTAGAAATTCTTAAATAATTTAACCTTTCACGGACAGTTAAATGAATGATTGATGAAGAAATGCTTTCACTCAACAAGGAGAGCAGGCTTGGATTGAGCAGCATATTATTAACACAGTGAATACCTAACCATTTTCCTAAAAATTAAAACAAAACAAAAAATCATGCTTTTTAAAAAAAATAATAATAATAAAACAGCTCAATAACTACATTCACGAAACCCTACCCATGGTCTTCAAAACAAGACTAATAAAACTGAAACTATGGGTTGCATTGCAATTTAGAAGGCGGATTGCAGAACCTGAATGGCAATGACGTCAGGATCAAGAGTCTCGACGAACTTGGTGAACTCAGGCCAGTTGTTCTTGATGCGTAGCAGAAAGCTATTAGCGTTCCAAGTTAAGAACTTGGTTGGGTCTTTCTTGCGGCTCTCCTTCTGATTCTCATCGGCATCGACGGAGTTGGATTCTGGTGATGATACTGTGGTTTTCTCTGCATCTTTTCCTGCAGGGGCGAGGGTGGGTTTCTTGAAGGACCCATCTTTTTGTATTGGTTGAAAGAATCGTTTCATCGTTGTTTCTCTGCTGTTTATCACAGAGGTATGCTAGAGTGCAACTATGAGTATGAGGAAGATTTTTGTGAAAACAATAAATATAAAGAAGACTATCACATTGACATTTGAGCCCTCAAATCTCCTTAAATTCTAATTCGGGAATGAAAAATACTATATTTATTCTCATTTTATACTTCCAACTTTTATAACACATTTACATGGTCCACACTCAGATTTCTCCCGGTCTCACTCAGATAGGTTTCTCAGTTTAAAACTTGGTACTCGAAGTACCAGAAAATTTAGGATTTAGGATTTTGGAATTAAAATAAGTTTCGGTGTTGAATTCATTTAAAATGTGACTCAAAATAATTTATTCAAACACCAAATTTATCTCAAAATTTTGTAATGGAGTGAAAATGGCTATTTTGGAATTTCTTAAAATTGGATTTATAAAATTAAATTTTGGGTTGTCACAATTATTGGCCAAGTTTGCTTGATTAGCATGTTTAAATAACCATTGTGAGTTATTGAGAATTTTGTCAAGAATATGAGATATTTGGCTGCACAGTGCATGAACTTATTTGTCAAATAAAGAGAAATATTAGAACATGGTGTCTATTTTGAGTTCTAAGAGCATGATCAATACTTGATAAGTACTCCCTCCGTCCCGAATTGGTTGTCTCATTTGCTTTTTGCACGCTTTTTAAGGAATTAAAGTAAATGTTATGTATTTTCCAATTATGCCCTTCACTTTTTCACTTTTTGGGAATAAAAGCAAAAGTCATAAGGGTAATTTGGGAAAAAGTAGAATGATGGTAATGTTCAATTTTGGAAAGAGGACAACATTTTGGGACAAACTAAAAAGGAAAGTAAGACATGCAAAATGGGACAGAGGGAGTATTTGCTAAGAAGTTTGATATCTATGAAGTGATAAGCATGAAATAGCACATTGTTGGCTTAAAGCATAGTCAAATAGAATTGGAGATATTCTTTATAGTAAAAAAGCATGTTTAGTATATCATGAATTTAAGTGCATTAGCGGCTCTAAGTAAGCCTAAGTATTCTTTCAAAACCTATATCTATTTTGGAAAATCATTATCTAGTTGCATGATATTTGATTATCAATTTGTAAGAAAAGAAAAGTTGTTGAGAAGCTATGTGCATAAGTTTGCATAAGTAAAGTTGTTGCATGAGAATGAAATGCATGAGTTCTATTTATATGTACCTAGTGTGCGTAATCTGAGGTTTTGGAGGCCCGTTAGGATTATGTCCTTTCGGAAGGAAAGAGAAAGTAAAGAAAGAAACGGACATTGCGATCCGATGTGAAGTAACGAGGTCGATACTCCCGAGTTATTAGGTAGGATACTACCCGCTGGGCTTGGGATCCCGGTTAGGAGTGTGCACACTGAGAAATACGATACCTGATTCCACAGAGTTTGAGAAAAGAACCAAGAGAGTGGTTCGATGGGCGAGATGAATATTAGGCCGGCTAGATGTCGAGCCCATATAGGTCCATTCACATTATGGTGAAGTTCCTACCTCGCCCACGAGTAAAAGTAAAGAAAGAAAGCGAGTCATTGTGACTCTAGAGAAAGAAGAGAAAAGCGAGTCTGTGTGACTCAAGTGAAAGAAGAGAAAAGCGAGTCTGTGTGACTCTAAGAAACCTCCATCGAACAAGTGTTCCCTGTTACCAAAGAAAGAGTATATATGTATATCTATCTATAATTATACTAAAGCATCATGTTCATTTTCATGTTCATTTTATTGCATGATTATAAGAGTTGCATGTTTTACATGAAAGTATGAGAAGAAGCATGACTTTATATTGTCGTTTATTTATTATACTAGATTTTCTACGCGCTTTGCGCGAATAGGATAATGCCCAATAATTATTTTTAAATAAGTATTTTAAAGTATATCAATAGAATATTATATACGAGATGTTCATGCCTATGTAATAAATGTTGAATTTGTTTATTTAAATCGGTAATTTAAAGTATATAAATGCAAGATAATATATGTGAGATTGATTATAATTGTCACTAAAATAAATGTTTGTAACTTTGTAATAACGTAACGCTAGTTTAAATACTTAGTCTTAAAACGATAGTTTAAATAAATAATACTTTTGGTTTAAATTTCTCTAATTCTTCTTAATTCTCTTTTTGGTAGCATTGTTATTGTTTTCATCTTCAGTACATGTCCTTTTTTTTGTGTTTTTTATTGGTAGTGTGTCATGTGCAATTAAGTTACTGGTAGCAGCATAGAGGGATTCATCATGCAATGAGATTATGGTGTAGGAAGTTTTAGATTTGCCTTGCTGTGTATATGACTAAGATTTTAGTTATAATATGAACTCTTTAACGTACAAACACCTATTGATATTTAGTAGTGGTAGTTTTTTCCCTACATGTTTCATGTGTTGTGAGATGTGTCTCGTAGGTTATCATGTGAAAGTATTGAACAAAATATAAATATTTATTATATTTGTATAAAATACTTGATAAATAAATAAATAAATAAATAAATAAATAAATATATATATATATATATATATATATATATATATATATATATATATATATAACATGTTTTGTATTATAACTTTGATATTTAATTACAAGATAATGTAAAAAAGAAGACAATGAACAATGTAATGAATATAATAAATTAATAAATTTGAAGGTAAGGAATCTTTGAATTGTAGAAAATAAAGATAATATAATTAATGAAATTATATTTCTTTTAAGTTTTTTTATAATGAATTTTTTTTTTTAAATAAAGCATTATAGACATCTAATTCTAAATTAATTAAATCCATATATATTATTTTTTGTTGTAACTACTAATTTATTTAATTAATAAGAGTAATAAAGTGTCGTACATACTTTTCTTCAACAATAATGAAATAAATGATTTTTTTTTTTTTTTTAATTTTCATTCCTTGTTGAGACATTGTTTTGAGAGTTTGTCCATGACAATTGCTACAATTGCTGTCAATAGAGGATGATAATAAATAATTCAAAATATATGGTTACAATATATATTAATATAATGATATAGTAAAAATTAACTTACAAATTTCTTTAGAAGTTTTCAAGCATTGATAAAATTTTGATGTGTAAACTTGTTCAATTGGAGCTAGTAGGATGTTAACATTGTCAATTATTTGGAAAATTATCCTACCGTTTTAGAGTTCATGTGTAATTGTATTTATGATCAATAACCTTGTAGTTAGGCCGCGCAAGTCTGACAATGATGTAAGAACAATTTTGTCTGATAAAAGAATAATAGTATAATATATATATAAAGTAATGTACAATTGTATCATTATAAAAAAAATACAAAAAATATTAATACCATAATGGCCTAAATCATTCCAATAATGCAAAAGCATAATTGAAATATTAAGTTTTGTTCTAAATAATCAGAAGAAGATTAATTTCAAAAAAAAAAAAAAAAAATTAACCTAAAATTTTTTTTTTAATAAAAAAATTCAAGAAAATCAAATGATTTTAAAGTTGTTCCTGATTTATAATCTTTGAATGCTATGTATTTAGTCGAGCTAATTATTTGACCAAAGTTTATGTTAAATTTTATATTATATATATTTTTAATACATTTTAACATATTCATAATATATGTTTAACAATTATGTCAACTATACTTGGGATGAGGTTCGAACCTAAGACCTTATATAAATTAAGAGTATGTTAAGAATAATAAATAGTTAACGGAATATTCTGTTACTAAAGTTTAAACTAACGGACTTTATGGTTATTTAAGGGAAGAAAATAATATAATAGAGGGTAAATAAGGAAAATCATTAAAAGATACTAAAATCAAAATAATATGAATCATTCATTTTAAGAAACAATTAGTACCGACATTTTTTTTCCAGTTAAGGGCTTAACATTATTCGCTCTTATTAGATTTGTAGATGATAGCATGAGATATATGATAGCATTTTTTTTGAATGTTGTTGGCCCTATTACATTGTAGTATCTGTTCATATACTTTCTCAACCTACTGAAACACAACGAACCAATAACGCCTCCACTGAGGCTCAAACTCATAACCTTCCAAATGGAAGTCCAACCCGGGTACCATTAGACCACATAGTCTTGGTAGATATATGATAGCATGAGATTGCTTATTGAGATATATGATAGCATGAGATTGCTTATTGAGTTATTTGATAGCATGAGATTGTTTATTAAGATATATGATAGCATGAGATTGCTTATTGAGATATATGATAGAATGAGATTGTTTATTGAGATATATGATTACATGAGATTGCTTATTGAGATATATGATATTATGAGATTGTTGTAACACCTCATTTTTCTTAAACTTATTTAACAGACTTAACCTTGAAAGGTAAGTTAAGGCAGCGGAAAAACTTACTGAACAACTTAATAGAGGTGTCACTGCCACAATCACCCTTCACGGTAATTGCACATGCTAAGGATAAACAAACTAAATCATTAAAAGTTTACTAGCATCAAACAAACTAGGGGATAAACCCCGGTGTCCAGCACCATCAAAACAAGGGTAGTCAACTACAAGTCTCAAAAGAAATCAAGATCAAGAGTTTAGACTACAACAGCTAACTATGCTAATCTAGTCTAACTCGTACTCTCTCACGAACTGGGCCCACCTGAAAGGGGTTAACAAACAACAAGTAGAAAACAAACCCGTTAGCACGAAGCTAAGTATAACGCCACTCAACCATGTAAAGTACTACAGTATACACGTTTGGAAAACATTTATTTCACATTCTTAGATCAAACATTCTCAATCACTTAGGCAATACTCTAACATGCTCAACAGGATTTCTATATGCTTGCAACCTAATTAACGAATAGGCATGCTATCAAAAAAAAAAAAAAATGCAACTCTTATAATCAATCTCATGCTATCATATAATAAAAATGCTATCATATATCTCAATAAGCAATCTCATGCTATCATATAATAAATAAACGACAATATAAAGTCATGCTTCTTCTCATACTTTCATGTAAAACATGCAACTCTTATAATCATGCAATAAAAGGAACATGATGCTTTAGTATAAGTATAGAT